GGGGGGCTTGTGAGTTGCACTGTATATACTTATAGAGATGGCTTCAAATAATGTGAAGCTGATGATGATAGTGCGTGTGCGAACTTATAGAAGGTGGGTAGATATAGCTGGTGGGATGTTGTTATCCTCAGCGTAGTAGTGAGGGAGGTGGCTTCTGCGCTCTGAAGTTTATAGCAGCAGAAGGTGGTGGTGGCCGAAGTGGAAAAACAGGCCTTCGGGCGAGAGCCGATGGGCGATGGGCGATAGGGGTGGAGTGAGACTGAGGGAGGGAGGGACTGGGGGTTATAAAGAGGAGGAAAGGAGTGTGGGTGGGGGATGTTTCATATCTCCCTAAGTGGCTAAGTGCGTTGCGGGTCCTCCAAACTCCAATTTCCATACGAATGGACCGACACGTGCCTTGTGAATTTCGGCAAAACAGGAAGCAAAATAGCAATAGCTTACTCATGTCTCGGATGAGGTCTGACGCGTGCCAAGGGCTGTCGTGGCATTCATCACTTCCAACCACTTGGCAGGTAGATGTTGATTAGACGCGTAAGTAGAATTAAATTAAGTGGACATATATACAGTACTTGAAAATTAAGGCTATAACATTATTTCCTCTTAAAAAAATTGAGGCTTTATAATTTATATATACTACTTGTGCGTATTATTTAATTATTTTCGATGACTGTACTTCTTAGATGTATTATGGATCCTTTACTGTATACCTCAATGATAAAAGAATTATGAGTTAATTGGCCCCACCTTTTTATATATTATACAGCCAAAATTAGATACGTATTGATGAAGCTAATAACGCGGGTGTTATCACTTATCAGTGTTGCTTCCGAGTTCTGAAATTAATTTACGGAATTAATTATTTATTATTTATTATTTATTTTCCTTTTCTCTTTTCACCTGACGACACCTAACCATGCTCTTATATTTCACCTGCCAATAGAAAAATATATATATATATATATAATTAAAATAATGAAAGGTATATTTGTTTGACAAATGATTGGTAAATAACATTAATTGTTATATGAGGCTGTGCTTATTTATATATATAAAAGGCCCATTTTCAAAGTTCTAACCCTGGAATTTAGGCTTTAGATTAGGTACTTAATATATACAATTCAATTCAAAGCATGGGCTGCATGTCTAATAGCTAAAAGCCTAAGTCTCCACTGTGTATGAGGAGTGAGGGCCTTCCATCAATAAGCCAATCTGAGTTTACTTAACTCGTGCTGTTTATATATGCTTGGACGCAATTTCTAGCTTGAAATTTATGTAGGCCAATTTCATTTAAGGGAGGATGTCTTGGCTTCTTTGGGTCTACTGCACCATAAAGACTAAAGAGCCAAAGAGGGCTTGGAAATGATGAATTGGGTCAACACTCAACACCTAACCAAACTGGTCTATCTACGTTTCATACGTTTTTGATGTTGGATTATAGCTTATAAGAGTCAGTTTTCTACTTTTCTTTGGATCGGAAACCACACTGATGAAGGCGCTGGAGCTGAACCTGGGGTCAAGCTCAAGCCGTCCCATTTGATTGAAACAAGAAGAAAGCTTACGCAAATGAATACATCCATGAATCCATCCCAAATAACATGTTTGGAAGGGAGAATCCATTTTACTAGCTAATCCATTAGCATGCCCAATTATCTCTCACTTTTCATTTCCTGGAAACTATTCATAGATAAATACTACTTTTGGATAAATATCGCTTATCGTCCGATATATTCAACCAATTTTTAGCCTTTACCGTGTATCGGCCCCTGATACCGATTTATCATCCAAATTCCAAACTTCTCGACGACGCCCCGCCTCCACATTCTTGAGTCTTGACCTCCAACGTCGACGCGTTTATTTCAGAAATGAGAACCAATCCAAGAAATCACCCAGGGAAAGGAACCCAGCGGAGTTAGTGGGTGGGGTCAAGAATCTTCACAAGGTCCCACTACTAATCGTTTCTGTTTTCCTTTTTTGGGTTACTAATGCCTAAAGGGATAATGGCCAACCCTAAATTACTGGTGGGCTTTTTCTTGTTTCCAAGTAATTTCCAAAACGGTCGCTGGATGCCGCCGATGCACTCAGATTCAAAAACGTTTATCTCGAAATAATCAACGTTGAGTTTCTGGTTTGAGGGGATGGACTGATGGAGCAATGAGCATGATTGATGGGCCCGTTGACGGGCTGCCTCATTTTGAATCACTTTATGTGGCCCATTTTTACTGATTTGTCCATTGGTCCCGGACACGCGTCAGTCTCTCGCTCTATTCCTTGGTATCTAGCGATCCGAGAGGCAGGTTCCTCAAAGGCAAAGCCAACCCCACCCACAAAGTAAATAGTTGAGTAGTTCAGTTGGCCATCACGCCGAAGCTGACTCTTGTCACTCGGGACCGTTTGGTTTAACGGCTTAATTGGCTGAATTGATTGACTTATTATTGGATAATATAATTAAATAATAAAATCTTTTAGGAAATAATAATAAATACTTTCAACTTAAATCGTTAAATAACTCAGTGCATAACCTCAGCAAAAGGCCATCTGTTGATAGCAAAAAAACACTTGAACTGAGTGATAGATATCAATTCATCATCAGTCGAAAAGTAAAAGAAAGTTTAATTTTCAATTTATAATTAAAACATCTTTGCTAAGTATAATTAGTAATTTACTTGTAACTGATGATAAATTATAAGTTATGTGATAAGTTTACTTTTTTGACAATTAAGTAGGTTACTGCAAACCTATCAATGAACCAAATGCCACCTAGGGTGACGTTAGATTTATAGGATGTTTATTATGATACTGTCAATTAGAAGACAGTTTGGATCAAGTTTACAATGCTATTATAAGCAGGGTGAGAAAAAAAAAATCGAAAAATCGAATCGATTGAAACCGAACCAAAAAATTGGTTAATTAAACTGACCAGTTCGGTGTTTTTAAAAACTGAAGGTATCGGTTCAGTTTCAGTTAATCAATATAAAAAACCGGCAGTTAATCGAATCGATTGGTATACATATATTTTTATATATATTATAAATTAATAAATATGTATTATATATAAAAATATATATTTATAATATATATAAATGATTTATTATTTAAAATATAATATTATATATATTATAAAAAAAACGATGAATCAAACCAATTGGCTTCGGTTCAATTTCGGTTATATTAGTTTTTAAAAAACCGGTAGGACCGATTTGGTTAAAAAAAACCCATGGTTCAGTTAACCGAACCGTGAGTACCCCTAATAAGCATGTTCAATGAGCACTTGAAAATTTTTTGACACCTATCCTTAAAATACCTTCGCCCCACCCTTGAAAAAGATTAAGGGGATTTTATGATTAAGTCCACCCCTAGGTGGAGCTAGGATTTACTAGGGGTGGACTGAATCCTACCTGTGGATTGATGCCAAATTCAGGATGTGGTTTATAGGGGGGCTACTAGTAAACTAGGAGGGGGCTGCAAAAGAAATTTCTGATGGGGATTGCAGTCCAAAAATCCCAAAGATTAAAACCCTAAAATACTTACCAAGTACTCATTCAACGTGCTTACTTATGTTGGGCAGGTTATAAAGGGTAATGTGGAATAATTGATAACTAGCAGAGTGGCCCTGCTTCGCAGGGGTTGGAATGGAACTGTCAATATGTTGATTTGTTGACCTCGTCCTTGGCCAAAATCGTTGAATCGGTCAATGACCTATTGACCTAAGTAGTCGAACCATTGGCCTGTTGACCTGTTCAATGGTTTTTGACTGTTTTTTATTTTTTTAATTAGCCATCCAGGCAACTGATTCCGTTTTATCCTAATCTTGGTTTGTAGCAAAAAATCGTTGAATCGGCCAACGACCCATTGACCTAGGTGGTCGAATTGTTGATCCGTTCAATGGTTTTTGGTTGTTTTTTTATTTTTTAAAATTTTTATTATGAGAATGGGCCATCTGTTCAAACTGAACAATTGAACTATTGACCCAAAAACCAATGGCCAGAACGGTTCCGTTTTTAGGTTGTATAAGTCACACGCTCTAATGACATAACACGTATGGTAATGCTTAATGGACCTCACACACTCAATATTTTGCATGTAAATTTTGTTGTCAAAATGGGCCATTTGTTTTTTTTTTTTAATTGGAAACTGTCCATGCAACTAGTTCTATTTTACCCCAATCCTGGTCCCTGACCAAAAACCATTGAATCGGTCAATGACCCATTGACCTGAATGGTCGAACCCCAATCCGTTCAATGGTTTTTGGCTGTTTTTTTATTTTTTTAATTCTTGTTGTCAGAATGGGTCATCCGTTCGAACCAGACAGTTGAATCGTCGACCTGAAAACTGGTGGCCAGAACGGTTCCATTTTTGGGTTGTATGAGTTACATGCTCGAATGACATAACATGTATGATACTGTTCAATGGACCTCACACACTCAATTTTTTGCTTGTAATCTTTGTTGTCTGAATGGACTGTCCGTTCGAACCAGACGATCGAACCATTGACCTGAAAACCGGTGGCCAAAACGGTTCCGTAAATTTTTGCTTATAATTTTTTTGTTGTTAGAACGGGCCGTCCGTTCGATCCGAACTGTCGAACCTTCAATCCAAAAATTGGTGGCCAGAATGGTTCCATTTTTGGGTCGTATGAGTCACACACTCAAATGACATAACATGTATGATACTACTTAGTGGACCTCACAAACTCAATTTTTTGCCTATAATTTTTGTTCTCAGAATGAACTGTCCATTCGAACCGAATGATCGAACCGTCGACCAAAAAACCGGTGGCCAGAATGGTTCCGTAATTTTTTACTTGTAATTTTTGTTGTTAGAACGGGCCATCTGTTCGAACCAAACGGTTGAACCGTGAGTTATCAGAACGTTATTAACAACATTTATCAATAATAATAAGTAATTGTACTATTTAATTAAATAATCATTAATGATAGTTTTAATAATATTATTTAGTTATTTTTAATATAACAGTAATTATTAA